TGCTGTGAGTGACTGACTGGTTTGGTAGAAGGAGCCGGATATGCTGGTGCCAACAGGGACCAGGGTTTAACAGCAGAGGATGCTCCTGAGCCCATGTAGCAGAAGTGCCCTCGGCCCCCATTTGAGAGGCCAGTGCACTTTTCACTGGGCTCAGAGCTGGTGCCATGTCCCCGTCTCTCCCCACGCTCCCTGTGCCACGGCCGGGTGTGTGGGCAGGTTCCTTGCTGGCCAGGAGGACGGATAGGGTAGGGCTGCTCCAAACCGCTGCAAGGCAGGAAAGAAATTAGTAGAGCTTTTCAGTGAAAACTCAACACACACGTGAAGCAAAGGACCGTTAGTTCTGCTTCACCATCTCTGGTTTGTGGCAGTAGCCGTAGCTCCTTTCAGGAGCCCTGGGGCTTTCTGCAAGTCTGGTATCTGCTGCTTTGCAAGGGAGAAGCCAATAATCCTTGCTTTTCCGTGGGAGAAGGAGGAAGCGTGCTTCCAAGGGCTGATGTGAGTGGCTGTGCAGTCCTTCCTGGTCAGCAGCTCCAGTGCTGGCCCCTGACCCAGCGGCTGTGGGGTTCCCATCCTGAGCAAGCAGCCCCCCCCCATTTGCGGGACATCTTTTGGGGAGGCACTGGACTCCCATGGGGCAGCCCCAACACTGCTCCTGGTGGGTGGCAGGCTGGCAAGAGCAGCCTGGCTGAGGTATATGTGTGTGGTTGGGGGTGAAATCCCCCCCCAGATCAGTTTGCAGTGCAATGCATATCATATCCCTGTGGAGGCTAAAGAGTAGCAGAAGAAGAAACCTCATAAACAGTTGGCAAATTGCTGCCTTGCTCTCCAGGCATTGTGCAGCATGAGGGCAGCTGCTTCAGCCTTTGTCCCCTCCTTGATTAGGTAGAAAGGACTGATTCACCTGGCAGCTGTTGCTTTATAAGCCCCGTTCATCAGTGCGGCTCCTCTGATTGCAGCCCCCCCAGCAGCCATCCAGGTTCCCCGTCATCATCAGCGCCAGCCGGAGCACGGGGGCTCCGATAACAGGCCATTAACGACGAATAACACAGGCAAAATGATGTGCAAGTCACCTTTCATCCCCCAAGGTCCAGCCGCAGTGCGGTGTATCACTCCAGTCCCCGGCAGCCTCTTGATCGGCGTCGTGCGTGGTTTCTCGCACGTGGTGAAGAGCAGCGGCCGGCTGGCTCTGGCTGCAGCAACCGAGTCACAACATGCAGGGCAGCCGGGAAAGGGGGGAAGCAGGTCCCTTCGTGCTCGGGTGAGGTGGGGTTCTGCCGAGGGTGGAGGCGCTGGCAGGGTGCAGCAACGCCGTCACCCGGTGTCTCTGCAGCCGGGTGAGTTCTTCGGCTCCAGGTTGCTGCCCAGGATGGGGGAGGACGGGCTCATCCCTGGAGCCTGGGGGGACGGGGAGAGGGCATGGCCGTGGGTGCACCACTGCTCGCTCTGCTCCGTGCAGCATTTCTCTCCCAGGCGGTGCCCCTGCTTCAGCAGAGCCACATGAACAGGCGGGTTATGAGTTTTCTCAATAAATATATTCTCCCCTTCCCCCCCCTCCCGGCTTTTCTGCTCAGAGGAAACAAAAAGCCAGCAATGCTCGGCAGTTCATCCTGAGTGAGGATGTAAATGCTCAGACCAGTTGCTGTATTAAAAGGGAAAATGCTTCTTGCATTTACATTTAGATTGAAACAACGTGTGTCAAAGGTGCCTAATAGCTCCCTGGGATAGCAGTGGCCTGATGCTGGGACGATTCTTGTCAATTTATATTATGAAGGTAATTTTTTGCATTTCCAATTTAATTATATTGACATAATTAGTCCATTCCACGAGATAATCGTATGGTACAGATACTTTATGTTTGAGTAAAACATGAAGTGCCTCCATGCACGGGATTGGGATCGAGCACTGGGATGGGTGGGACGTGGGGTTCGCAGCCTCCTCCCCGCCGCAGCACTGTTGTTATGAGTACAGAGCTGATTGATGTAACTGCTCTGTGACTGTAAGCACGAGCCTTTCTATTTTGCACTGATTTGAGCCCAAAATGCTGAGCAGCGCGTTTACTCAGGGCATTTCCCCTCACTCTGCCCCTGGCCTGGCCACGGCTCTGCCGACCTCCTCCTCCTCCTCCTCGCTGGCTGCAGCATCCTCGCGAGCTGCGGATGTGCTGAGCCCAAGCTGAAAGGCTGGGCACAGAAATCGAGCGGTAACGTTTCTCTTCCCCACATCTTCTTGTTGCAGATTTATATCACCAGAATTCACTTTACAGTAACACCTGAGCCCCGAGAGCTAAAATTCACTTTGAGCACAGGCTCATGCAAGTCACTCGGCAGAGAGCACGTGTGGAGCAGTCCCAGATTGTTCTCTGAATGTGACTGGCGCTTTCCTCTGCATTTAATCAGCCCAGGTACCTGGGGTGGTGGCGGTGGTGATAGTACCTCCACTGGAAGGAGTCTGTTTTAGCAGCATCGCTGTGCTTGAGCGGTGTCAACTCTCATTAAGAAACAGGTATTTTCAGGCTTACATTCAAATTGCCGCTCGGGCAGCATGTGGGCAGGGGACCCCAAGGCTACCCGCAGTGTGTAGAGCCCACGGCCGTGCAGTCCCCAAAGTGCCCCCAGTGCCCTGCACAGCCCCCTCCCAAAACTCCTCCCTGCTGCGCAGCATGGGTGCCACAGACCGTGGGTGCCCAGGGACAGGGGCATCCCCAAGGGGAGCCAGGCTCCTCCTTGCTGTGCAGCGTGGGTGCCACAGACCGTGGGTGCCCAGGGACTGGGGCATCCCCGAGGGGAGCCAGGCTGGAGCCCCGGCTCGGCGGCATCAGCCCCGCGGTGGTCGCATTTCTT